ATGAGATTTAGTACGAACTACGAAGTACAAGTATTTTTAAAAGTAACAAAGATACTGGAAGAACTTTACTTATGTTAACTTCAAAATGGTGCCACCTCAATATAGAATTAGAGTTTCTTTCTTAAAAGTTCAACGAATAGGATAAGTGCAAAATCATAATAGCACTAATCGAGTTTGAGGAACTTGTGAAAACATAACACTCATGTGTGTGATTTCACCGATATTGTCACAAAGAATGACTGGTTCAAAGCTATTAAGCTACCTGAAATTTCGATAATATTTTGTGAGATTTACACTATGATTAGATTCAAATCGAAATATATCTAATTCTTATATATTAGTGTTACCAGGTATGCATATGTGAAAATTTTGACAAGTAGGGGAATTTTATATGGTTATTATAATTATTTGTTGTTCAAGATTAGATTTGGGTTGAAATATGAATGAATTAATGATGAAATTGGAAGACAATGTTGGATGAAATTGGAAGGTAGTGTTTGGTGATTTCTGCTTAACCATGTGTAAGCATATGCCAAATGGCCTTGTGTACACAAGAAGTTGTCAGCAGAAAACTGAAGCAATTTTTCTTCTGTTGTGCGTACGCAAGGATATAACCATGCATACGTACGGTTAAAAAATTCAGCAGTTGGACGGATTTTTCATTTGAGTTTCTGATGCATTTTGGTGGAAAGTTCTCAACTTTTCACAAGTATTTGGAACCTTTTCGTGGTATAATGTTAGAAATCTATAAATAGGTGAAAGATTTCCAATTCAAATAGAAGAAAACAACGTAAGATTTCATCATTCATTTCCGCACTTGGTTTTTTCCTATTCTAATACATATTCAAACATTTTCAAGTTTTCAACAAGTTTGACTAGAAAGAATCATTTTTGCTTTTGTGCTTCTTTCTTGAAAGCTTGTCAATCCTCTAAACTATTTACTGAAAATCCTAAAAGCATATTAGAGGAGGCAAATATTGTTTTTAGGACAACATATCACATAAATGTTCGAGCCTTATTCTTCATTTCTTGTTTTTATCTCCTTCTTCTCCTCTTCAATATTTCCAACATAATGTATGCTACTTTAGCACGTTTCCTATGCTCATGTTTGATTCAATCTAACCAGGCATGTTGGGAAAGCAATTTAGCCAAAGCTAAGTGATATGAGGGCAATTGAAATACTATTTTGTAGCACACTTGTGAGTTACGTTCATGGTCGACCATTTATGTTGGTTTTGGGTGCTGCAATATAATTGTGGTCATAAAATCTCAGTGAATGAAATATTAGCATAGCTCCAAGATATGATTACGAGGGTTTGGAGATACCAAATTTGATGTGACTAAATAGATTTGGGACATAACGAGATACTTTCGAGGATGTTCTATGCTAGTCCTGATGAGATCTAGTATAATACTCCAAACTGTCTGTGTAGGTGGCTCAACGGCCGCACGACTCATTTATTAACCCCTTTTGGTACCGATTAAAATCTAAGTGAAAATTAACAATTCATTTCAACTACAAATTTTATGGGTCCCACAATTTTTCAACCATATATTTTATTAATTTCTATCAAAATCTAATAAAAATCTAATTTTAACCCCCATCAAACAATAGCCAAATATGAATGGAATGTATAGTAGGATGATGAGAAAGATGCATGCTTTTTCGCCTATTATGTGCTAATGGGATATGTTGGACTTTTGGCTTGATTTGGCCAAAATTGTTGTGCCCATAATAGTAGACAATCTATATAAGAATCGTAATTATATCTTAGCATGTAGTATGGATGTACTTTTAGAGATAGAATCCCAACTTATGTGGGATTGAATTGATCTCTTAGAGGGTTATAATAGAATTGACTTGTGCCTTTCTATCAGCTTATAAATAGAATCCCAACAGTCCAAATAATATAGAGAACAAGAATTCTATAAAATTTCTTCTCTCTGCTATACAATTGTATGTTAGGGATTCTTCAACTGGATATATTTGTGATTGTTCTTTTAACATCCTCGCAACATGACTATTGAATATCATGGAACTATTGCGAGAATTTTTGTTTAGATCGTGGACTTGTAATTTTACGCTCCACACACTTGTTGATCCTTTGAAAACCCACAAGCGCGTGGGATTATGGTTGAGTAATATAATGATGAATAGAGTGTCGAACCCACGAGGACTGTGTGCTTGATCGAGTTAAAATTAATTGCAACTTTAATCAAATAGCAAATAAATTTTGTGATTTTTTATACTAATACGTAAATTATAAATTAAACTATTGAAAGTAAGTAAATGTGTTTTTCAATTATGTGAGATGCATTACTAAGATGTCCAATGTCATTTATTATTCCATTTTTAGTGTAACAATTAAAGTGATAATTTGAAATCATTCATGTTGGTCAATGTATCAAATTTAATTGAAAGTCTCTATAGGTAGCGATCAAATCTATTCCCCTCATGTGACCCTTCTATCTCTCGATGAAAAATGCAAATATAATAAATGTATTAACAAGTGTTAGAACATTTATTGAAATCATATAAAATATAGAGGTATATCTCTATCATCTATCAAACCTTACATTATTTATTATATTGTGCTTAAACCCTATTGTCTCTCTCGATAACAATAAAATCCACTAACAATTCAATTGGTGATCAAATAATTGAAAAGAACAATAAAAACGATAATAAACAT